CAGAGCCTGACACGGGGCTCGAACTCACAAACCCTGAGATCATGACCTGAGCCGAAGTTGGACGCTTAACCGACTGAGCCACCCAGGCGCCCCTCCTCTCAGTTATTTCTAACACAGATTGCTTTTGGAGCAAAAAATGGTACCAATATTTACCATTTATAATATATCAAGGAGTAATTTATACACAGATTATTTTTCTCTTTTAACTCTTAACACCCCCAGACAGTAGCTACTATTCACAAATAAGCCTAATGGTTGAAATCTGCCCAATTTCACCTGGTTAATGAGTGGCAGAGCTGATCCAATATGGACTGACCCATGTTAGCAACTCACTCAAAAGGGACAGGTGTGACCCTTAGCACTAAGACAATTTCTCAAGACCCTTCGGGTTTTATCAAATTAACTCAGATCATCAGAATGTATAACCTCAGACTTCCTACACCGATCTTTAGAAGAAACAGCCATTATGGAATAAGTTGGGGTCTTCCTAAGCCACAGAGGTGGTGAGGAAGAAGGGGACAGAACTGCAGTCAATGATGCAGGATTCCAAATTTGCAGTAAATTCACCTTAGAGTTCAGACCAATGGAAATCTTTATTTTGCACTTAATTTTTGAAGTTTTTTTTCACTCAAGATTTCAGCAAGATTTAAATGTAATAGTAATATTAGGGTCTTCGGTTTTCCCTGTACCTAACCTGCAATCCCCAGTGACCCCACCCTCTGTACCAGAGAGATTCAGATTCTTTTCCTCGTATGGGAAATTGCCATTCCCTAAGAAACCTAGTCCATGTTTCTCTTTTACTTGATAGACTAACTGGAACAAAAATATAACAAGTCAGTAGCTAAAGTTCCAATTTTCACATTACATTAGCATTTCTAAAGTGTGACTTCAACATTTAAAACGAGTTAGTTCTTAAACTTGGACACCCAGATCCCTAGATGCTCTTGGATTCAAAAGGCGGGAATTAACTCTTCTACAGGAAAGTTAATGCTGTGTTTAAAGTTAATGGTAGTGCAAAATGTACGCATGAGCACGTCTGGTGTAAGGACCACCTCCGCATAATGGACAGCCGCCATGAGATTTTAGTCCTGGCACTGGTGTTTGTATTTACTATTATGCTGGCACCACGGAGAGCTGCTACAGTTGCCACTGGCTGATAATAAAAGACCAAAAGACTTCAAAGCTCAATTACACCAGATGATGTCATAGTCAGCTACATCAACAAAAGTTCCAAGGTAGTTCAAATAGAGCATAGAGAGTGCAAAAGGGCAACACTGTTGCTTTCTTCGTGCTGATTCAAAAGGAATAGGCACTCAAGGAGCCCACACTACATGCAGACGGTGGTGGTGAGAACAACTTCGGCAAAACAGTATCATGCATCAGATTAAATTAACGTACTGATTTTACAATCCAAATCTGAGCACTTTATTTTGATTTGCACCTCAGTTATAAATTGAATTTGGTTTACGGATGAACATAAGGGAAGGGAAGCAAAAAGAATATAAAAACGGGGAGGGTGACAAAAACACAAGAGACTCTTAAATATGGAGAACAAACAGAGGGTTACTGGAGGGTTTGTGAGGGGGGGGGGAGATGGGCTAAATGGGTAAGGGGCATTAAGGAATCGACTCCTGAAATCATTGTTGCACTATATGCTAACTAACTTGGATGTAAATTTAAAAAATAAATTAAATAAAAATTAAAAAAAAAATGAATTTTGTTTTAAGTGAAAACTCAACATATGAAGAATCTGAACCTAATTTTATGTTTGTATGTATTTAAATTTAAAGATTTGCAACACTTTTTTTCCTTTTAAAAACAACTTAAGTTTGATCAATGGAAATTCAGTATAAAGTCATACACAGTTTAAAATCATTTCCATGGTCTCTGTTACACTTAGTCTTTGCATGATAGAGATTCTAATGAGGCTGATCACTATACTATATCTCTTAGATATAGTGTAGTATATCTGTTAGATATAGTATAGTATCAGAGCAGAGCCTGATACTGGGTTTGATCCCATGACCCTAGGATCAAAACCTGAGCTGAAATCAAGAGTCAGAAGATCAGCCAACTGAGCCACCCAAGCGCCCCTCTTCCAGGGGCCCCTCTTTTAATGCCTTCACATTCTCCCTATATTCATTCTGTGCTGAAAATATATCCCAAGTCTAATATAAAGCGAAGGGACAGCTACGAATATATGAAAACCAGATTAGTGGATGGGTCGAAAATACGGATCCGATGTCAAACTCTGACTCTACTGCTGTGACACAAGTACCTTGCTTAATCTCTCTGGGTCTCGGTTTCATTATCTAGGAAGTGTGGATAGTGACAGTACCTGCTGGACAGGGGTGTGGTGAAGATCAAGTGAGTTAATGTAGGTAAAGTACTTACTACAGTGCCTGACATACATTAAGCATTGCATTAACATTGCTGCTGCAATTGTTAAGCTGGTCTAGTTGCCAGAAACAAACCAGATAAAGAATCACAGAAAAAGTTTGGTGTGTTCCTTATCTGCCGAGAACAAACCAGAGCAATAATGAGAAAGGGGCTAGATTTTGAATCTGCCTTCCTAACTTGCTATATGTTTCTGGAAAACATATTTCAGTTTCCTCTTTTACTTTATGGTGAAGATGAGTTCAGATGTTTTGAAATCATGTAATTTTAGACGAGAAGGGATCACAGTCAAACTCAGTTATTTACAATGAAGGAAAAGTACGTTAGATTAAAATTTATCAGGAATCATTAAAAAAAAGTTCTAGTCCATATACTAAACTGTCCATACAACTAAAATTTATCCACAGAGTAACCTTTTTTAAAATGTTAACCACTTAGATGGAAATATTAATAAAATGTTACATATTCTACAAAGTGATTAAACAGCAAACATAGAACATAGCTTTCCTTAACTTTTCAGAGTTGGAATTTACACATCACTTCTTTTTCTGAGCCCAAACGATATACTCAGACATCATTAAGGGGCAGAAAGTTATATATTCTGCATTTTTATAATTCTTGTCTTATTTGGATCAACATTTCACTAAAAAAAAAAAAAAAGGTTAGGTGCATAACAAAAGTGCATAAAGTTAAGAACATGGACTTTGGATAATCAGGTGTCAATACAGGTTCATCAGCTGTAACACACGTATCACTCCACTAGGACACCCTGATAGCAGAAAGGCTATGCACCTGTGGGGGCAGGATGCATATGGAAAATCTCTGTATCTTGTCCTCAGTTTTGGTGTGAACCTAAAACTGCTCTATGAAAATAAATTCATCAAAATAGAAAAAAAAATTAACAACAGGAAGAAAATTGGGTGAGAGGGAAGAAAATCAGAGGAGGGGGAATAAAATTATGTGCCAACTTGGATGGCGTAACACAGGGGCAGGCTCCATGTTCATTAGCTCCAAGACCTGTAGGATACTGGCTCAACACAGAAAACAAAATCTAACTGAAAAAAACAAAACCAGTTCCACTGGAAAAGCATACCTCATCCCCGTCCAGGAAACTGACAAAATTCCTCAGTCTTATATTTCTTTTTATAAGGACTCAAAAGTCCTTATAGAGATCACATTCTATGTGCTAACCGTATGTTGTAAGTTGAATTTAGTTTTAGAGATGTACGATTCAAAATGTTAAGGGTTTATTATCCAATTTTTATATGATCATATTTAAACCTAACAGTAGGAATCTGCAAGAATTTGCAAGAATACTCCCTTATCTTAATTTCCTTTCACATGTAACCCACACATAACTCACATTTGAGCAATGTAAACTCATAAAAACTTAGACGATTCTAGAGCTCTATAATATGTACAACCCTTAATACCTACCCCACATAAGCTTCCTTTTACATCTGTAATGGTCAGGTAAAATGACCACAATAAATTCCCTATTTAGTCAATGAAATAAAGTTTTTGAAAGTACTTTCTCTTGGAACATTGCTCAATTAAAATCCATTAAAATATAGATGAACACGTCAACTGCATCATTATGGAGGGTGTGAACCATGTGTTTAAACATAACAATAATCTAATGATCTCTCTTAATATAAATTGAGGTAAAATTTGTATATTCAGAAGAATAAATAATCCTTTGGGAATTCTCCAGTAATACAAATTCTTAAAGCTGACGTATAGGATAGGATTTAACAAATTTGTATTGTGACTACATGCTAGTATGTTTTAAAAGTCAGTTTGACTGGATAATTTTGTTTATACACTATAAATTCATTGCTTTAGTCAAGGTCCAAAGAGAAACTAAAGGGTTTATTTAAAGATGGAATGTTTCAAGAATGTAGGTATAGGAACTAAGGACAGTACAATAGCCCAGGGCAGGTGGCTACTAATTGTTCCCACCTCTAGGCCCCAGGAGCAAGCACGGGGAACTAGTAATAGAATCCAGTAAGACAGAGAGTCAGTCATGCAAAGGCTGTGGCCTAGAGTAGAAAAGAAAGCTTCAGTTGAAGGACTAGTCAACTCAAGGGGACCTCTTAGGGTGGAAACCAAAGGCAATAAATACTTCCTTCTTATACTTGCTTCCTCCTCTATTGGTCACATTTGAGACACAGCAACACATTAGAACCTGCACCCCCACAGATCAGCCTCCACAGGAGAGGGCAGGGTGTTGGAGGGCGAAGAGTGGACCTGGGTGGGCAAACAGAAGGAATGCAGCCTTGTTCTAAAGGTGAGCTCTGCCAGCTAAATTATTGAAGCAGCTCTTGGTAATGAAGGCACTCACTTCAAAAAGCTCTTATAAATAAGAATGGGGGGAGAGGGTGGAGCAAAATAGAAATTTATTTTTTATTCTTGGGAAACTTACTTTTTTAGCTGATGTCCCAATCCAAATCGCTCTTTTGTAGAAATCTGAAAGACATCAACAGTGGGCACTGCAAAGGAAAAAATAATCAGTCAAAATGTTGAGTTAAAACTGAACCATCAGCCAGGAATGACTGCAAAGTAATATATATGATAAACTATAGTATGTACACAAACATATGTTTATATATTATATAATACACAATACATAGTGATATACACATACATATTTAAAAATAGCATACACACACTCCTACATACATTGCTATTTATTTTGGAGATCATTCATGGTCATTACATATCATGTACTAATACATAATATATGTGTATATAAATGTATAATATGTATAATGATGAAGAATGGCCAAAAAAATACAGCAGTGTAAATGGCAATGTGTAGGATAGTTTGTACATGATTCTTTAAGTGGAGGAGAGACATATTTATACATACACAACCTTTTTTTGTCTTTACAATAAAACAATGTATGACGAGGCATAGGAGACTTTCTTTTCACTGGGTAGCCTGTCATGTGCTTCATATTTTTACCAGGTATATGCATTTCTGTAAGCTAGTAACTATGATGTTTGTGAATTTAATAAACTGTCAAAAAAAAGTCACTCACCATTCATTATTCACAGGTTTTAAAGAATATCTGAGTGTCCACTCTGCCAATCACTATAGATAGAATGGTAAAAAACAAAAACAAACAAAACAAACAAACAAACAAAAAAACACGCACACAAGTCTCCTTGCCCCATGAAGCCTTGGTGCAGTGTAAGGAGACAGACAAAAGCTAGATAGACGGAATGCCCCATGGTGGTAAAGGTTCTGGAGGAAAAGAAAAAAGGGAAAGGGTCTTGGAGTAAAGGTTGTATGGACATAGTAGGTTCCAACACTAGATAGGATGAAGTGTCCTAGCCAGAGGAAATCACCAGGGCACTGTCCCTGAGAAAGAAATGTACTTCAATATTCTAGGAACAGCAAGGAGACCAGTGGAGCCAGAGAGAAGTAAACAAGGTACCACATTAGGAGAGGGGATCTGAGAAGGACTGTGGGTTGGCAGTGTAGGATCTTTGTAAAGAACACAGTACAAGTAGCAAGATCGCTCAGGAACTTATCAGAGTAATTGACAAGAGAAGCTGTGGTTTGGATCAGTGGAGGTGGTGAACTGTCTTGTTAAAAGGACATTCACAGACTATGCATGTTTGACAGTGTAAACCAAACTGGTATCCCCAATTGCTTCACCCCCGTGTTGGCTGTTATTCTGGGACACAAACAGTCTACTGATCAAAGAAAACTGGTGTTAGTATCATCTATCAGTTCCCTTCCTGAAAGCATTCTAATCCTTATATATAGAGTGAGGAACAGAGTGGACACTCTAATCCCCCCTGTTCCAAACCCAGGACTACAGAAATTCAACAATGAATAAAAAATCCTAACATCTTGAAAGTTTGGTGGAATTATTTTTTTAAGAGAAAGATAACAAAATTGGAACATGCTGTGCTCTCTCTTAAAAGATTTAAGAAGGGGGGGGGCGCGTGGGTGCCTCAGTCAGTTGAGTGTCCAACTTCGGCTCAGGTCATGATCTCACAGTCTGTGAGTTTGAGCCCCGCGTCGGGCTCTGTGCCGACAGCTCAGAGCCTGGAGCCTGGAGCCGGCTTTGGATTCTGTCTCCCTCTCTCTCTGACCCTCCCCCGCTCATGCTCTGTCTCCCTCTGTCTCAAAAATATATAAACATTAAAAAAATTTATAAAAAAATATTTAAGAAGGCACAATCTCTTCACAGGCAGATGAAAAAAGTGGGGAGATGGAGGCAGACAAACAAAAGGGACCTGGTTAAAACTAAAATGTAGAAAAATCTAAAATGCACTAGAAGAACTGAAATAATCACTGGAAGAAATTGTGTAAGATACACAGATAGAGAAAAGAGAGATGATAGATACAAACGTTCATCCAGAATATATAAATTAATCCTACAAACTAATGACACAAAGACCCAAACTTATTCATACCATGAACGCTTGGAAAATAAGCGTCAACATTTTACCAAAATGATAAATCTTATAGGGAAATGTAAGTTACAAACATTGGCTCAATTGATATAAAATCTGAATGACCCAAATTTTAGAATATACTGGGGCGCCTGGGTGGCGCAGTCGGTTAGGCGTCCAACTTCAGCCAGGTCACGATCTCGCGGTCCCTGGGTTCGAGCCCCGCGTCGGGCTCTGAGCTGATGGCTCGGAGCCTGGAGCCTGTTTCCGATTCTGTGTCTCCCTCTCTCTCTGCCCCTCCCCCGTTCATGCTCTGTCTCTCTCTGTCCCAAAAATAAATAAAAAACGTTGAAAAAAAAATTTAGAATATACTGAAAGAGAGAGTAACAACAGGATGTTACTTCCAAAAATGTTCCGAGATTCAAGTGATAAAACTTACATTACTATTACAATTAATTGCATTTAATGTGTTCAGTAGGTGTTAATAAACCGTGAAACTAGATGTGGAGTGGATTGGGATGCTGTACTACCTTTGCAATTTTTTGGTAAATCTAAAATTGTTTTTAGATTAATATTTATAAAAAATTTTAAATAGCCTTCTGATAACTAAAAGTGGAATATAAAAGTCCCATTAAGCCAACAATTAGCAAACAAGTACTCATGATTAAATTTAGCTAAAATTAGTGACCTCAGGCAGAAAAAAAAAACAAAAAAACAAAAAGCACACAACTATACTGATATGTAAAACTAAACAACAAACAAATCTTCCTTTAACGGAAAAGTAAATATTACATTGGAAAGGCAGTAAGTGAGGGCTGCTTAAGATATTTGGAAATTATTCTAATGCTCTGATCATGTAAACATAGAGGTACTATTGATGAGATGATGTGCACAGAAAAACAGTTTTAATAATGTTGGCTGTTTATCACTTTAACCTAAAAGCAGTCTTGTGCTTCAGATCAGAAACTAGACTTAGACACTAATAACTGTGAAGAAAATACATAGTATAAGAATTATAACACTCACGTCTTTTTATTTCAAGTGTATTTCTTCATGTACAATGAAAATAATCCTTATCCTTAATATTAGAGTGGATTAGGAGGTGTAAGAACAGATATACTGTCAGATTAGCCCTGGCCAAATATTACAGCTCAATTAAGTATTATTCATACATTTCCAAAACCTAGGAATAAATGCTTTCAAAAAGAACTGTTAACTAGGTCAGTCTACATGTTGGATTAGTCATAAAACTTGCTTGAGGTAAGTTAAGACTGAAGTGTACCAATCAAAAAGAAATACATAAAAGATACCATTAAGGAAAAAAAGAAAAAATAGCCCAATAAGTACACATAACAAAACACAAACTTAACACCAAAACCAGTGTCTTACAAACGAACAAAATTAAAACACTTCAGACACAAACTGGCAGAGGTCTCTGAAGTATTTTTACCTCTTTTAGGGCAACTATTATGACCCCATCAACTTCTACCAGGTCAAATTTGTCTTGTTCACAAAACAGAGAGTCATTCTCAGGTATGAAAAAAGGAAGCATCACCCTCATGTCTCTTTGGTTTACAAACTATTAAATAGGCAAATCAACTGACAAAAATGAAAAAAGGAAGACTAAATTATAGATGAGTTGTAATACCAAAGAATGGGTACTGAACAATAAAATCATCTAAATAGGAATTAGAATATAATTGTTAGAACATTTATAAAACCATGCAAACATAACAAATTTTTAAAGAGATACTGAGAAGGAAAAATCTCTGCCTAAAATTCAAGATTATATTCAAAAATTGAGTAACACTGGTAAGATTACATAAAAGTATGCCACATTTTCATCTCACACAGACGGAATAGGGTGAGCAGAGATGAACTGACCCAATTTTGTTTCTAACTCTGATAATTAAAAAAAAAAAAAGGTCAGACATGAGAGTTTCTTTTTATTCTAATCACCATCAGAATAAAATCAAGTGGCCATGTATCAAATCCCTAAAGAAAGAAAAAACAGCCATACAGCAGAGTATCTAGGAAAACCGCAAAAACACATACACCTGGAAGGTGGAATATTATGCAGAGATTAAAATTATTCTATCTTAGAAATTCAATGAGTTGAAGACAGTTTCATGACACTACATTAAGGTGCGTAATTCTACAATTCAATGTTAACTTTATGAAAACAAACCATGTGTGCACGGAAAAGAGAAACACCAAACTATTTACAGTGTTCTCAGTATAGAGGAATTATGAGTAATTCCTTTTCTTCCTTATTACATTTTTATACATTTTTAAATAATCACAATAAAAATATGTAACATCTATTTGTCTTTGCCTGGTGTTAAATCATGTCGTGTTACTTACATGAAGCGTTGGCTACTGAAGTAGAAATCATTGTCTCATTATGCAAAAATAGAAAAGAACTGACTCAACAGAAACTTTTTCAAAATGAGAGACCTTCCTGTATATTCATCAACTTGAAAGGTCAGATATTTTTCTTATGTAAGAACTAACAGTAGATATAAGTTCTTTAATACGCCTAAGGAAAACGTGCCAACATCACAGTAAAGTACACGTGAAGATGGCCATGACTTTTAAGAAGTGATTCTAGGTGCGTTTTCAACTGCTTTGATCAATACAATCCAGTGGAAGATTCACTGTGCTTCCTTCCAGGTAACATCCGCATCCTGTCTCTGGGAACACTTGCTTTTGGACAACGGCCAGTCATCATGCTACAAGAAGCCTAAACCACATGAAGAGGCCATGTGGATGCAAGGTCAACACTCAAGTCAAGAGGCCCCAGCTGATATCCAAGATGATACATGCATCAATTACTAGATATCTCAAAGTCCAGCATCTTGGGCATCCAACCCAGCAGAGCCTTTCAACGGACATACGCTCCACCCACCATCTGACTTCAAAAGCATGGGGGACTCCAGTTGAGTTCAAACAACAGAGAGAGACAGTAAATTGTTTTAAGCCACTAAGTTTTGGGGTGGTTTGTTGTGCGGCAGTATATAACTGGAAGACACGAGTAGATACAGTGTATGTGTGTGTATGCATGTGTAGACACGTGCACGCCCATCTGAATACATGCACAGGCATGTGTATTTGCATGGGAAATATATCTTAATCTAGTAAGTCTTGTCAAGATTTAATAACAGCATCCTTTGTTGTAAATAGTTATCACCTGAGAAAGAACGAAATCATCCCTTAAGACAGTGGAAAACAGAGGCGCCTGGGTGGTTAGGTGTCCGACTTCAGATCAAGTCATGATCTCACGGTTCATGGGTTCAAGCCCCATGGTGGGCTCTGTGCTGACAGCTCAGAGGTTAGAGGCTGCTTCTGATTCTGTGTGTGTGTGTGTGTGTGTGTGTGTGTCTGCCCATCCCCTGCTCATGCTTGGGTTCTCTCTCTCTCTCTCTCTCTCTCTCTCTCTCTCTCAAAAATAAACATTAAAAAAATTTTAAAAAAGATAATGGAAAACAAAAATATTACTAAGATCTCTATTTTCAAAAATAGAAGTAGGCTATATTTATAGTTACACTAAATTCATCAGTAATCAGAGGTGGGATAAGTAAACATTAAAATTAAATCTCAGAATCAGGGGCAAAAATAATTAAATCTAAGGGCAATCCAAAATATACTTACTGAACTTGTATGCAAAGTTCTCTTTTAGGTTTTACTGTGTTTGTTTCACAGCAATTTGTCAACTTCTGAAATCTAAAACTAAAACGTTACATGTTTCTGTTTCCATTAAATTACAAAAGCAATAAACCACCTTTGTCAGGATGCAAGTATACTTAAATACCATTATCAAGATAGCTGCCAATTATGTTCATAATTACCAGATGAACATTTTGCTTAATGCACAATTAATTCATATTTAAAATAATACATAGAAGGAAAACTAACCTGGACCATTTAAATACTGTGTAAGTGAACAGTGTAGTCGGACAATTATAGGTTCTGTTCGAATTACTTCCCAAGCCACAGCAATCTCCTCCTGTGAAAACATGTCAAAAGATGAATTAGTCATCTTTTAAAATTCTTAATTGTTTTCCCAAAATGAAAAAAAATTTTTGATTTATTTTGAAGAAATACATAAATCTTAAGGCTCACAAATTACCTCAAAACCTATTGGTTTGGAAAAGAAAAAGTATTCTTAATTTTTGCCTCCTACATTTGAAAATTAAAGTGAAAATTTAAGATATAATGAAATATTATAATAAGAGCCCATAAGTTTCAGAATATATTAAAAGAAACAATGAAATATATATGTATGTATTTATATCTATATATAAAACATATTTATTTATTTATTGATTGATTGATTTATTGATTTATGTGTATGCCAAATCTGTTTCTTCAGCCATAGTATTTCTTTATAATCACTTTAACAAAATCAGTATGTAACTAATAAGAGAAACAAATATTAAATTTCTTCCGACAGTAAAAATAAGTGTTTAAATGTACCAATCATATTGTATAAAGTGATACTTACGTCAAGAAAGCTAACATCAATATGCAGGTCAATATCTACATCATCAATGGCTCCATATTCCCTGAAAGCAAAGATTCACACTAATTTTTACCTTGTCCTTAAAAGATAATGTGTGCAAGGTTAAGTCAAAAATTCAATTAAGAACTCATATCCTTCATCTCTGCCAACAGCTCAGAAGTGACCGGGGACATGAATTAACTAACTCCATGGAGTGGGACTGCTGTCTTCTGAGACTATTTATACCATCTAGACATCTTTCTATTTATATGTACAAACACTTGCATACATAAATTCAAGACTTGTTTGCTTCGTAAGTTCAAACATCCCCATTTCTCTGTGGCAAATTAAGCAATCTTCTCATATGACCACTTGGTTTTCATTGTGCTCTCTGAAGAGCTGCTTCGAAGGCACTTCAAAAAGGAGTTTCTGAAGGGGTGGGGAAATAATTTACTGTCACAACAGCGTGTCCACAATTTTTTTCTTCCATGCTAAACATCAGTGGTTCTGAAACGGACCCAGGTGTTCTGCCACTTAAATGTCATTACGTTCTGACAGGCAGCTCTAAAAGTCTGATACATCAAAATGAAAGCAAGTAACAATAGTATGTGCCACATGAAGACGTTCTGAAAACTACCTTTTCTCCAGCCCAGGTAGTGCGGAAACCAGCAGAGTTTTTTAAAGTTAATTAAAGAATATAAAAAACAACAGCTTTTCCATATTCTCTCTATACACGTATCTGTATTTTTTATATTTTTACAAAATTACAAAGTCACAAAGGTTATACACAGTGCGGGATAGAATTATACAGATAACTGAAATGATAAACATTAAGCACTTATGTGCCAGAAATTAACCTAAGGATTTTACCTACATGTGATCATAGCGCACTATAGATACTACCTACCACCTCTAACTCCTATATGCATTAACTGAGTCCCTAACTTACCCATCATCACTTTGTAGATAGCCGAGGTTTAAACACATATATTCTATTTATTTATGCAGGTGATCAATCAGTTCAATATTCAATACACTATCACTCTGTTGGAAACCAAGTCAATTATTAATGGATGTTCTCATTAGGTCCTCAAAGCCTTATGACAAGGATACGATTATTATCCTCATTGGTAAATGAAGAAATTGAGGTTTAGAGTCTTGAAATCAGATACCAAGGAGCAGATAAGGAGTCAGTGGGAAAGTCAGGCATTGAATTCATGTCCAATTTCAAAGCTGTGTATAGTATCTGGCACATAGTAAGTACTCAATGACAATTTCTGTGTATTATATATTCAAGTAAAGCTAACATAATACACAACTGTGGCACTTGTATGGGGTTCAGAGAAGACATCTTTAATGATTAAATGTTTTTTTGTAATTTGACGGATAAAGGAATCAAAGGGGTTTGTGATGTTTGATGTCTGTGACACACAAAAAGCAGCATATTACAATATAAAAACTTAGCCTCTGTAGTTTCTCCATTGCCCCCTTAAAAATATATCAAAACCCTGACCACGTTTTCATTGTTTATGAAATTATACTTTTTGTTCTTTCATATAATATTTTTAGATTACATAAAGAACAAAAGGGATAAAAATGATTCACATAGTAATTAATTTTTCAAAAACACTGCATGGATCAAAACATCTGTGTTATTCATAAAGGATAAGAATATAACCTTATGCAAATTAGGACATGATTTGACATGCACACTTAGATACAAAGATCTACCCATTTATTTATGAAATTACACAGACACTATGGCAAGAATAAGGACCAAGGAGGGGCGCCTGGGTGGCTCAGTCGGTTAAGCGTCCGACTTCGGCTCAGGTCATGATCTCACGGTCTGTGAGTTCGAGCCCCATGTCGGGCTCAGAGCCTGGAGCCCATTTCAGATTCTGTGTCTCCCTCGCTCTCTGCCCCTCTCCTGTTCATGCTCTGTCTCTCTCTGTCTCAAAAATAAATAAACATTATTATTTTTTTTTTTTTTAAAAGAATAAGGACCAAGGAAATAAACCATCTCTTTAATGCCTCTGGTTCAGGAGTCAGTAAAGTTTCTGTGCAAAGGTCATGACAGTATTTTAGTTTTCAGGCCTTTTCTGGTCTCTGTCACATATTCCTCTTTGTTTTTGTTCTTTAAACCTTTTAAAAAGCAAACACTATCTATGGCTCACAGGCTATTCAAAAACAGGACCCTTGACCCAGTGGTCATAATTTGTGGACCTTAAACGTCAGCAAATTATTCATAAACATAAAAGTCCAGTACCTTTTGTTAGGTAAGTTAAAAGGAAGAACCACTAAATGTAATGATGAGGATCAATTATTAATGATGTTCAATAGATGTTTAAGTGGGGTGAAAATTGTAACAGATATGTAGGAACCTTTGCCCAGGAGGATATTTGTTAGGTGCAGAAATTGGGGAAAGAAATGAATATTGAATAATAAGGAAAGAAATAAACTATAGCACACTGGTATGATTAAAACAATTTTTTTACCCAATATTCAAGAAGTTGATATAAAAATATTTACTACCCTGAGGGAAATGTTCCAAAATGGACTATTTGGAGCAAGCAGATTACCAAAAATACATCAAAATGAAAAAATGTTTTTAAGTAAAACAGAAATACCAAAAAAGTAAAAAAAAAAAAAAAAAAAAAAAAAAAAAAAAAAAAAAGAAGAAAAAAGAAAAGAAAAAAGTATTTACATGTTAACTATAGATTGTGGGTAAAACTTATTTTGTAAAAAATGTTATGTTTTCTAAAAACATTATTTTTTCTGATTATAAAGGTAGTATAGGCTCATTTCATAAAATGTCAGAAACAGAAAAACAAACAAAAAGCAATGTGTCATACTACAACTCAGAGACAATTATTTTTACATCTCATTCCATAAAGATATATATATGGAAATATATGTACAAAGATAATGTGGTATACAAAAATTTTTGTCCTTCTCTATCACTTCTTCTAAAATGAGTGTTTTTCTATATGATAAAATCCTCTTCAAAATTATAAAAAAAAATGGTTGTATTTGTATAAATACAATTGTATAATAAAACAATTATACAATTATTCGGTTGCTGTTGATGTTTTTTACACTATAAATATGGATAAAAAAAGTCTCTAGATAAAAATCTATGTGCATCTGTCTTCTCATAGAATAATTTCTAGAATTACTGAGTGAAATAAATAATAGAAGTATATTCAAATAGAACTATATATATAATAACTATATAGAATAGAATAGGAAACAGAATACAATTGCATAGAAAACTATGCAATTATATATACATACACTATGTATAACAATACATATATATATAACTATATATATCTAACTATGTATGTTATTTAACTATATATGTTAAGTATATGTGTTTTTTAGTACTATACACACTAACTGTGTATGTTACTTAATTACTATTTTAAAAAGTTAGGGCCATCTGCAATCACAGCAGGCTATCACAGTGACCATTTCCCACATCCTCATCATCACCAGGCATTTGTTTCCTCTCGTCATTGCCATTTTTCACAAGGGAGAATAACTTCTGTCTGGATTTAGTTACAATGGTAAGACTCTGGTGCACTCAGAGGCAGAGAAGGGAATCACAGACAACAAACACCAGGAAGAACCTTACCCACAGCTGCTTTCTTCAGAGTTTTCCAGACTTCAGCAGAATTTATCACACAGTTATGATGAGACAGTGGCATGTATTCTTTTAAAACCTTTAATATGTGAATTTTAAAATATTCTTTATATGATTTCTTCCATACTTTTGTGGTTAATGTCTAATACTATCAATTTATTTCAACAACAACAAAAAGAAGGAAATAAAGGTTTACAAGTGCTTTCCTTCACCACCACAGAGCACAAATACAGAATTCTAAGGAGGCAGAGGCATTAAAGGTTTGCAATTAAGTGGATTCTGCAGGTGTAGATCTGTAAATAGTTACACTTTTTGTTTTTATGCCACACTTCAGAGAATTCACAACAGCTCTGCATATATGCAAACCAATTTCCGTTGTGATGCCCTCTTTATATAATGCCAGTAATTTCACATTTCCCGCTGTGAGATGACAAAGCGTGATTACAGTTTGTCCAGATGCAGCGACCCAGTCATCAGGATTGCTTCTATATCTGAATAACTTTCAGTTGCCCCGGATCTCATGAATAGCAAATGCAGAATCAAGTCAAAAGCCTGAAATATGAATGCAACTTGAATTGTGAAGCCAGATATCTGATTGTGTCCTGAATGCTGTATTGGGTTTATAATAACTCAAAATAATTTCATGCACTGCCTATATTTATTCACTGTGGAAAGATCACATCAAATTGAACCTGAATACTTTTTCAAGATAAGGGGAACAACACAGAAATGATCTGATGTAGTTGTTACACCCTGGAACTGAGAAAGGACTATTCCACAATTTTTTTCAGACCTCTGAGCTACTCTTTGGGCAGAAATCTGGTCATTTGATGTTAGGTACTTAACACGTGACAGTTCATTTAAGAACATATGTATGAAATATATTTTTCTATGAATGTGTATTTTTGAGGGCACTACATGAAATCTTGGCAATTCGTCCTTTTATTTTTTAATGGAACTAACCAAGACAGCATCCTTTTTAATGAGATACAACATACATTACATAATCAATATATTAAATGTCAGACCGTCTATGCTGGTCCTTCATTCTCTGTAAAACTATATATAGCTTATTCATTATACTGTCATGATGTTTTATAATACTATTTGATCAAAATTAGTGATTGTGCAGGTTATAAAAATATATTCTAGATATCTTAACCTTCCCTTATTAGCTGTCAAGGGAATTACATGTACACATGCATACACGAAACTTTACCACATGTCCTTGGGAAATAAAACTCTATCACTAGTTAATTCTTGTAGCCAATGACTGGTCAGTTATATTTTGAGAAGAAACATATTTTGTGAAGAAACATACACCTTCTTATGACATCTGAAACTCAACAGCTTGCATGTCTGTCTCTGCATGCCTACTCAATGTGTGTTTTTTGCTCAGTGTGGGAGAGATGTTTGTGAATGGGCCAAGAAATATGCAAACTCAGTAGTCAGAAAGAAATCTTGGCAGATGAAAGCATTTGCAAGATTGTATCCAAAGTGTTCTGAAGTTTCTCTAAAAGGCAACAGGACTGAGAGAATTTAAAAACTAGCTCCAGATTAAAAAAGGAAGCCCATATAAAGTGATAGTGTGTAAGAGGTTACAGTTGCTACAACTCCCCCTCAGCTTAAAAAAATCTTGGTTTTGCTTGAAGAAAGTACAAGTGACTGTCTGGGAGGTGACATTCTGAAGCTTTTCATCTAGATTATGGCCAGCGTTTTTGGAAAATACTCTCCTCTTTGTTTCTTCTATGTGCCTCCTGTCATCACTTTCCCTGCTTTTCAGTCAGACCATTTTTCTGAAGGCTCTAGAGGTGGGGCTGGGAGAATTAACATTCTGGAAAGGACACTGCAAACGTCCACGCCAGACCTTTTGATGAATGACGTACTTCAACGTAGGTTAAGTATGTTGTAGTAATAAACTTCTTCAAATGGCAGTGGTTTAATGCAAAAAAAGATTTGTATCTCACTCACACTACATAGTTACTATGGAACCAGAGGGCGGAGAAGAGATGCTACTTCACTGTGGTCACCAAGGAGCCCGGAGTGATGGAGTCAGGGGGGAAACAGGAAACCCTGCTTTGGTACCTCTGCTCACACTTCACTAGCCAAAACTAGCTGTGCCCACACATGGTATTAAAAGGGGCAGGGAAATAAAATTCTGCCATATGCCGGAGGGCAGGAACCAGATCAGTAAGTGGTCTTACTGGTCACTACAAATGGAAATACATAAACCCAGAGAAAGTGGTCTGTACCAATTTATGTGGGGTTTTTTCCCCTTCCCTCCCCCTCTCCTCTCCTTTCTCTGTCTCCCTCTTTTTCCCTTAAGGAGGTATGTGAGCCTGAATACTGTAGCGTCATCACCTCAAACCTTAAAAACTCCTCAGAACGCCCTGTCCTCTAGAAGCTCAATTCCCAAAGGCCCTGTTACAACTGTCCATCCCCAGAAAGTAATCAAAACTCAGAAGAGTCACAGTCTTGCAATCTTCCAACCTTCATTAAACATCAGGCACAATCAAAAGATTTTATTTTTAAAAGGTTTTATATTACTCCTGTGGCTTCACCTTTTAAAGCAGAAGATGGTATAATTATAAAGCAAAGGTTATTTCACAGGGGCTGGAAGTTTGAAGCACCCTAAGCAAATTGTCAGAATCATTTCATTCCTGACTAAATGAGAATTTTGTGACTTGTAATTCGCTTCACCTTTCTAAAAATATTAATCTCAAAGTGTTTTCAGATGGCACTGATCAAATCCTTTTTTTT